TGAAGTGATTACAGGGTTTTGATCGCAGATGGTAAGATTGCTTGCGTTTGGTAGAATCATCACGTCAGTAATGTCAAGGTTAGACAAAGGGTACTTGACAATCAAGGAAAGTCGGTCGATGAGGTTGTGAAACTTCAGCGACTGAGGTAGCTTAGATATTTTCCGTGCATGTCGACTCACCACCTAGATCGACGTGCAATGCTGGAAGTTGAATTAGCTTGGAAAACAGTCTACGATAGTCCAACCAGAACATGACACCATTCTATGAAGTCTCTGGCTGTTGGTTTGAGCAGAGTAGAAAAGTGCGGAATACCTTGTTTCAATCTCCAAGATCATAGGAATCATTGGTTGCAGACTCGGTGAAATGGCTAAAAACCAGCCACAATGGCGCAGATGCATTCACTCTTTGGCGTCTTCAACAGTTTGAACATTTCCACTTACCTTGTTTATCAAAGTCCTTCTTCCCCTCATACATAATCATTTATTTTGTTATCACTTTTTCGACCCACTTGCTTTTTGCACCCTACCACGAGGTGTAGCAAAATGAACCGATGAACTTCTGCGTAAGGTTTTGTGACAATTTTGTCTGTCTATCTTTTTGTCGAAACTAAGAAAATTGGATTGCAAACTTCTAAAAACCTCGTATGCTACTCGCCGGCTCCATAGTCATACGCTAACCCTTCATTTTAAGGCGAAACTAACCTTCAAATGTATGGACAGTCTGGAAGCGTCAATCGCCCTCACAACTGTTAGCATTCAAGTTCCCTCAGATCGTCATCAACCTTCAACATCTCTGTGTTTTATTCCCTTGGTCTATATTCCTACATCGTCTTTAATTCGTTTTAGCTCTGCAGTTCATAATAAGAGTTACAGTTCACAAAACAGCACTTCTTATCTCCTCAAACCCCACCCAATATAACACACTGAAGCCTTCAATGTTTGCACACTTTGTCAAATCGACCAACAAGCCTCACTAGTCAAAATCCTCCGAGTGTCTTGAAACCCGATGGCTTTTCCTTATCGTCTTGCAGGTGTAGGGATAATTTTGAGTCCAAAGGCAGAAAGTGCACTGCTCGGTTAGATAAAGTAAGGTCTAGAAGAAGTAGTGAAACATGCCGTTGTCTATTTTCAATCTCCGTTTCCTCACCCATTAATTGCATCCCGGATGAAGCGAAGGATTAGTTCTGCAGAAAACTGTGTAGCCTCCTACTGAAAACCAAACTTTCAGAAGTGGTTGTCGTTGCAGGAAATCCCAATCTAAAAGTGCGTAGGTTAAGTCAGATAGAAAGGCACTTACGTGGCACTCTAAAAATCCTAGCCGAATAGACATAACAGTGACCACCTGATACAACTGTTCTCAGACAACTATCTATCTCCAGCCAGCGCGAACTTCAGGTAGAAAGAGATACTGTATGGTGTGACATCCACTGAACTGAACTCAATGATAAACACAGAGAGACCATATAGTTCTTAGTTAACGCTGTAGAGCGCTGGTGGAAAATCACCGCTACTACTGGAGCATGTGCATGGAAAGTGACTGCGTGCTAATTCGAACACGCATATGTACGCACCTCAACGGACGTAAAACCACAGCAACAAGACTATTTTGAATGCCGCTAGACGGTGAGGATAGTGGAGCTATCTTTACCGAAGAACAAGCTAGAAAACTATGTCACTCATCCTAAAGAAACCTCGTGTCATCTCCATCCTGTTGTAAAAACAGAATTAAAGACTGTAACTGACCCTCAAAAAGATGTCATAAAAGATTAAGGGATATCAGAATTTGCTTATGATTCAATGGACGGGCTCGAACGCATTCTTGAACACTTCGAGTACACTGCAAAGTGAAAGCAGCTTAAATGTAGGTTGACAAATCTACGCATTAACCGTAAGCAGTGGTGGGTAGCAGCAGCTAAAGAGATGGAGAAGGCAGTAGCGATGTGACGAAAGATAGCTATATATGCTTACCAAGAACACCAGAATGAATGGGGGAAAATTACTGGTGCGACTATAGATGGAAAGCTGTCTGTGGGGTTGCGGCTCATTGGTCTACGAAGATGACTTCCAACCAATGGGTCACGAGTTTGAATGCCCTGCCCTTACAGGGGTCTAGGCAGCCAGGTAGCATCATCTTCCGACACAATAGATGTGGCTGATTGCCAACTACAGTAATGTACACAGGGTTGCTGAGTGCATTCCGATTTTTTATTTTGAAATGCATCATACTCAATCTCCCGTGCTTTAGAGCCCATGGTGAGATATCAGGTAAGTTGTGAATGTTGAGTGGTATCTGTCAAAGATCTTCACTCCCTTCATTCTTAATTAATCTTATCGTAGGCGGGCTTTTGAGATCCACTCTCCATATCTGAATTTACACGAACTAACCGGGCTGTCACCATTAACATCAAGATTAACATAAGACCACACATTACTACGTAACGGTCCAAGTTTCTACATTTCATAACAGCACACCGAGTAACAAAGCAATAAAATGGAGGATGAAGGAGAGGAAAATCGACCAAGACGATTGTGAAGTAGTGAAAGAGTAGAAAGAATGAGAAAATGATGAGGTCGGGTGTAGTGGTTAACATGATATGTGTATACATTTGCCCCACTGACATCAGTTCTGAGTTATATCAACTACAATCCCCAACCACTGATTTCTCGTTTCGCGGACTCCAACCGGCTATTATGCATCGCTCAAACGAACAGACAGACTTCATGCATTGACGCTAAGTTTTAGTCTGGCCGCCCTGAGCCCTTTCCCAGCCTGAACATACTTCAGCCAGAGTTGTGAGACGAGCCAGATGGTAGCTAGGAATACGTAACACAAGTTCAAGGCATCTCAGTTGATGAAGGTTGACAACCGCATCAACTATCTTACCTCTCCTCCCTAAAAACTCTACGCCTGACTCTTGCGTTACACACGTGGCGAAACCATGAAACACACTGTGCTACGAAGACAACAGTGGTCAAACACCTGAAGCCTTCTCATGTTTTTTACTATTAATGGTCATGTTCCGCAGTCATGCAGTACAGCAGAACAGAGACTGCAGCACAGTACGCTCGGCCCTTAATAGATAATGGGATATCGAGGTGGTGCCACAGATGGAGATGGAGTTGGCGAAGGCCAACTGAGCCTTCTGTATCCATGCAGAGATTTTGCCGACCTGTGACCCATCAGGGTTGGTCAGACTTACCAAGTAAATGAAGTGTTCAACGTGCTCAACCACTTCACCCTCTATTGTTAGCAGGGCTACCGTTGAAGACTAGCCCTGCAGCAATAACTTGCATTTGGGTGGCGAGAAACGCATCCCTAACATTCTTAAATTGCAACTCGGTGTCCAAAAGACTCCATATCATGTTGACAACCGCCTAACAGGACTACGGCATCTGCGTATTCTAGAACTACCAAAAATACTCCTGTGATTAGGTCAATCCTTATGTAGTCAGATGACAAGAGTGAGACCACCATAAAATTGAATGGGAATGGCGAGAGTGAGCATTCTTAATGGACATTACCTGACGTACACAAAAACACTTGATATCTCATCATAGGCTTTAACACCCCAACAGGTGTTCCAGTAAAGAGCCGTTAGTAAGGTGACGTACTTACCCGGTGCCTCTTTCGCTGAGAGATATTGCCATGACTTATCGACCGACGGAGTCAAATGCCGCCTCCTGGTCTAGGAATACAGCTTTTGTCGGGCGTCCGTTAGTGTGCCTATGTTCCAGGACCTAGCGGAGTGACTCCTTTTTAGACCCGAAGTACTCAGACATAATCCCTTAAGGCAGACACGATGGAGTATTCTGTATAACTTAAATGGCGGTGTGTTTCAGAGATGTGCTTACCATCGCCCAAATAAAGCTGTAGTTTTACCGGATGGTAATCGACATATATGCCAACATAGTGGCCTGGAAAGAAAGTAGATATGGTTAGGAATCAAAATCTGTGACGATCAAGTTAAAGCCTTCTTCTGCAATTCCAGAGTAAAGTGAAGGTAGGAAATACTTTTTTGACTTTATCTCCAAAACTGCCTCCTTATTAAGTGGTTCGTATTTTGCGGCCGTATGCTTTGACTTCGTTCCTCTTACATCGCTTTTATATGTTCCGATTGGTATCATACTATTATTAAAGAATTACTGGTCAGTGGACACTTTTATCAGTCTGCGTTTTAAATAAATAGGAAAACAGCTTGATCGTATATTCATTGCAGAGCACATTGTAAATTGCAATATTTTGTCTCAACAAGTTAACAGAATCCTTTAGTCGACAAATCTTTTCTGTAGGTTGAAACTCCATTCTTATTCTAGTCCAGCCAGAGATTACATGCGGGGTTTGTACGTACATAACCACGGCATGATTAAAAAGGTTCTAAACTCCTTGTTTGTTCCTAATGCCCATATAACTATTTGATTCACTGCAAAGTACTTAGTTAGCGGAGATTCATTCGACAAGGACTGGTACAGGTCTATGGCTCTGTATCCTTAAACAGTTAAGAGTGGATTTATGGACACTAGTCATAACAACCAGCGTGATTAGTAAAATAATGGTTTTAAACAACATAAAATTTAGAACTTAAAGAATGTAACTGACTACTTGGTTACAGAGTACTGTAAGGGAACATCCATTATAAAGATTTCACAAAGTTTGCCTTTTTATATTTCATTTAGTAGCTTTGATGACTTAGTACGGGTTCAAATGTTGAATACTAGAGCGTGAACGGGACTTAAAGCCTCAAATGAGATGAAACGAGCAAGCCCATCCCATCTCACACTAATATCTTCGATAAGGCTTAAAGTCCTTCAATAAGCTACCTCCAATTTGCATAAACAGTAGACCAGTGATAATTTATTGAAACTTTGTACAGCAGAAAACTTTGAAGAACATCATTTTCAGGTTTAAAAACTGCGGTTTGGTACAAAACGTTAATAACAACAAGGTTTTTATAGTAAACTGAAAAAATACTGCTTATTATACCGAAAGAATCTGCTATTACCATTGGGGTAACTGAATGCCAGAAAATGCAATGTGACGCCTACGTTGTTAATTACCGCCTTCTTATCCAATATCCTTTAACGAGCTAGTGTAAACCAATCGAATTCTTCGCGCTCTCTTCTTGGTCTTGCAGGACGGTTCAAATTCTTTCGTGGATTCCGATGTAGTATGTCTAATCACTCAACTGCTGTAGCTCCGGTTAGCTCGATGGGCGGCTGCCGATATCCAATATTGATAGTGTGAGCTTGCAAAACTAATAGTTTTTGATCTCTCACGTCTGGTTCTTAGGGCTTGGTTCAAGTTGTTCGGTTCACTCCTGCAGTGGACGAGGAAATCCCCTCTGCTTTCCCGCTTTTAGCCTCAATGAGGTGGATGTTTTGTGGGCTAGTAAGTTGTAATTTGTAGAGTGATTGGGGGGCTGCGGGTTGCTGGGACTTTTAGGGGACTGCCGTGACTCCTGTCTGTGTAGGTACCTGGAAAAGAATAGTAAGGTAGTGGTAAAGGAATGAAGAGGGAATAAAAAAGAGACGGAAAAATAATAATATGGGGAAGAGAAAAGGGAAGGAGAAGAAAAGGAGGGGTGAAAAGAGAAATGAGAACGAAAGGAAAGTATTTGGGAATTTCGCGAATGGTCGCGTGGGTTTAGTTCCTGCAGAAAAATTAGTGGGTAATGTGGGTGTATTAAAGAAAGAGAGATAGTGAGTGGTAGTTAGGAGGGAGTTGGGGGTACTGAGGTTGGTGACTACCTGAGTACGTACGTGGTAGTCCATGCGAGGTGACATAACTGTCTAATCGCCTCTTGAATGAGTCGGCTGAGGGGGCTATAACGATATGTCGTGGTAAGGCATTCCATAAAGCGCATGCTCTCAGGGAGAAAAAATTTGACCTGAGAATGTTGTTGGCTCTCTCGTGTGCTATCTTAATGGGGTTTTCTTGTGAAGATCGCTGAGTTGCAGGCAAAATTGATTTGTTTGCATGGTCTACCTGATGGGCGATCTTGTATGCCATAATGAGGTCATCCCTTTTCCTGCGATAACCCGAGGTAAATAGGTTTAGGTGTTTAAGTCTTTCAGGATACGTCTTTCCCCTTAGCCCCACAACTGATTTCGTTGCAATTCCTTGAATTTTTTCAAGGAGATTAGAGTCTCTCTTGAGCGTTAGAGGGGAATGTTGTGGGTTAAATTCAAGACAAAAGGCTCACTCTACCCTAGTATTATCGAAATTTCGAAAACCCCTACTCTAAAATGAATGTTTCGTAATAGGTCGTGACGTATTCTGGACAATAACAGAAGATTTCGATGATTGTCTAAATATCAGATAGTCCTTTCAAAGTAACGACTGGAGTTCTGTACTGCCAATGTGGGAGTAAAACGTGTGCACTGTGGTAGGTTAAGACTCCATTTTGGCCTGTTTATAAGAACTGTCACACACTGAAACAGTTTTCTTGGCTAGATTACTTTTCGGACGTAGATAATTGTCTAAATTCAAACTACCTGGTGGAAAATGATACTGTTACATACGCGACAAATCTGAAAAACAATAACTCAGGACAACGCGAAGGCCCATAGGGGCAAAGTTCAATCAAAACAAAAGTCAAAAATGAAGTATTCTGCAGCTGTAATCCCCTCTGGGAATGCGTCTTGTCTTCCGTTTATTCCCTTAGCAGATACCTGTACTGTTTGAAAGAATGAAAGGCTATCGTGGATTAACTCAGCATAAGGTCAATCTTTGATCATAAAAGCTGACGGCCAAATAGTACGAAACGACTTGTTGGAGCTCAGTTGGTCTTGTGCTACGAGTATAAGGATACTTAAGGATTGGTTGTTTGTCAAAAACGTTAAGATATATCGGATGGTGACCAGTTGAATTATAAACAAGCACAATCTCAAATGTTCATGCCCGTATACACCTATACACACATTTATATATATATATATATATATATATATATATATACTTACACGGTCGTGTAAGTAATGATAGTTGCATCGCTTCGGATCTCCAGATGCGGCCACACGCAGGATTTGAAAAATGCGGGGAAGAGTTTGGGATGAGGGTACCAAGCCGTTCTGCGCAGAAAGTGTAGAATGGAGTTCTCTCTTGTTGTCATACATTTGTATTCGGAGCTGATGCTCATGTTGTTGGAGAAGTTGAGCCCCAGATCTTTCTCCATAGATACTCTGGTGATAGCACGGTTGCTCATCATGTACTGAAATTCAGTCGTACTTGCTTCACATTTACTATTGTACATCACTCTGCACTTTTACAGGTTGAAGCTCAGGCAATTTTCCGACGAACAGAGTTTGAGTTGCTGCAGGTCCTTTTGTAGTGCTGTGCAGCCGGCTTCTTCATTTACCACCCTCCAAATATTCATGTCATCAGCAAAGAGGAGGATAGGTGGAGGTATTTTATCTAGATCTAGATCACTGACAAGCAGAAGGAGCGGATGTGGTCCTAGGACTGCTCCTTGAGATACTCCTGATTTCGACGGTCTCCACTCTGACCTTATTCCGTTTACTTTGGTGCAGAACCGCCTCTCTTCCAGGTACTCTTAGAACCAAGAGAGTCTGGGTTCACCCATACCAGCTGACATGTTCGTTTGAAGAGAAACTGTGGGTGGGACACTGTCAAATGATTTGGCTAGGTCGAGAAATACAAAGTGTACAGGTCTTCCACCATCCCAGCTAAGTGACCAGCCATCCTAGGCAGTTAGTAAGTTGGTGGCACATGATTGAGCACCCCGCAAACCATGCTGAGCAGTGCGCACAGTGTTCTTCTTGTTGAGGAATTCCCAGATAGTGTCAGCTACCAGGGTTTTCAACAAGTCCGACACGATATAGAGTAGAGCGATCGGCCTGTAGCTGCCAGGGCCTTTACTGTCTCCTCCCTCGAAGATGGGTGACAAGATGGCGCTCCTTCATTCCTTAGGGAGTTTGCACGACTCTATTGAGTGTTTGAAGAGGTTACAGTGGTTTTGTAAGCACCTCGACGCAGTTCTTAGGAGCGCCAGTTTCAGGTTGTCGCAGCCAGGTGACTTTCCCGGGCCTAGCCTAGATAGTTTCTCGAACAGTTTTTTCCCTGAGATTGAGAAATGGCAGAGATATTCGTTACTTATAACCTGGTTGGTGTCGTAACTAGTCAGTGTGGATTTTGTGTCGGTACTAAGCTGGGCTTGGAAGTGTGAAGGGGATGCTAGGGGTCAATGAACCCTCGTGTTTGAGCACAAACAGCATTTACCACCAACGTTTTCAGACGCGATTCCAATCATGGCTAGCTAGTTCCTATCGAAGGCGTGAAAGTGCAGGCGGTACTATGCGCATGAATACACGGTATAAAACATGACTGTGTCCAAGAAGCGGTTGAAATTGATGGAATATACACTCAGAAAGCAGAAAATACGTATTTTAACACAGAACGTGGTAATGTATAGCGGTGTAGCAACACGTAGTGATGACTTTTACCCCCACGATCAACTAACCACTACCGCCTCAGAAGGCTACTCTGACGTCTGCTAGTAATAATAACAAAAATGTATTCACAGTAACGAACTATACGAACACTACTAAGATAACTGACAAGATTTCTCTATTTTATGAAAACTCACTTCTAAGCAGAAATATTTGCGTACAGTTGCTTACTGTGGCAGTTTCCAGGATGGCACCAGAAGTCATTTGACGACCAAATATCTGTGGAAGAACCAGAAAAACTACGATACATCAAACTTCAATGCAACCTGCTCCGAATTTCTGGGCCAGAATTGTTCGTTCGATCGTTCTCCAGGTTGAGTCGTATTGCCGAACTGTATCTCGATGAAGACACTAGCTCTTTCTTTGATGGCACAAGCTAAATCTTCAAAATCAGGTCCACTTCCAGTGGCAAAAACCTTGTCAGCCACCTCAGCCTGTCCGCCGTGTAAATCCACAGGTAGCCAACAGACAGCAGCTTCTAGGCAGACCGGGGACTTCAGGTCTTCAATGTGGCCCATCTCAGAGGATGTTACTTGCACGTTTCTGGGATTCGGAGAGGACCCAATTACATACTCTGCAAAACAACCGCCTAGTGCCCATTCCTAAACATATCATCAATAAGTGATAGAGTAATCACGTGTTTCTACCTCAACAGGTTTCAGAGAATTCGTCTTGCTCAGTCATATGCAAAATCAGTTGACAGCGATTTGCATGCCCTCATGGCTGTTCTAGCTCCTCTTTTGCAAGTGTAAACCAAATGAGTCGACACCTAGACCCTAACACTAATTTTAGTTCTGTTAAACCTCCAAACTGTCTGGTAAACATTTGGTATTGGTTGTGTTGCCCATTGAAGAATGTATCCATTTCTGGGAAAGAGGTGTTGCTCGAAATCGAAGTCCAACCCAAAGTCACTCGTGCCATTTTGCACCTAGCAACTTCCGGGCAAAGTCACGGTATTCTCAGTCCCAGGATAGCCGTGTGCATTATACTTGACATCTGGCGAAATATGGAGCGATACAACGCTTGACCTTGATTCCATTTCTAGCTTTTTCTCATCGGACAAACGCTCAGATGCCTTACGAATAGCACTTCACTCACTACATAAATCATGCATATCAGTGTCAGCAACACTCATCACCTCGGAAAGTCCCTTCCAGGTCCTAAAGAAGCCTAATGTCCACAACCAATACGAGCCTAGAACCTGGTGTATGGGCCACTGAGCACACGACTAACAATGCGTTCATGGAACGCAACCCGTAAAGACGTACGCACAAACTTCAGAATGATCCCAAATGACCCTGAAAATCCCCCAAAGATAGTAGAAGTACGTGTGTCAAACCTTTTACGAACGATGTCTCTACCAAAGAACTTCATTATGCCGGGTTGAGCCTCATCATAAACCAGACCGCAACCGGACCTCACACCAACGTGACCCTATCATTTACCGGTGGGAAGCTCCAAGGACACACCCCTGTAAAAGAAGGCCGGCCAGGTGCAGTGCGAGGAAGAACTTAGAACGGCCGCATGGCACCGGTCTGCTAAGAAAATCTCCCAATCCAACATTACACCAGTTATATCCCATGTGACTTGTAACAAGTGGCAGTCACTGGTAAAGAATACAACAAAAACCAAGGTCAGCATGGACCACAGATATAACGATTTTTCGTCCATGGT